AGCTCATCCTCTACAGTAATTACAGAGAGCACCAAAGCACAGAGAAGACGACTGGTGGAAGGACCACCTGACAGTAAGATGGCAAAAGATGTAAGTTCTGTCAAGGGTTGTACATGGAATGTAGATCCATTTTCAAAATTCATTAGATGACATGTGGCATCTGTTTCAGATTGTCTATGTAGCTCTGCACCAAAAGCCAGGGGGAGAAGATGTAATAAAAGAGTACAACAAGACCAAAGGTCTCTCTGATCCAACAAGAAAGAAACTTGTCAACATTTTAGTGGCAGATATGATTGAAAGTCATGGGTATGTAACCAATAAGCCTTACTTATTAAATACGAGAAAAGTATCATTTTTATTCAAAACACTTTGCAGAGTTGGTGTGAGTTTGTTTTACCCCTATGTGAAATATAATATGTATATTTTTAACTGTTTTGTAGGAGGATCCCTCCTGTCAATATCCGTATTACCTATGCCCTGGGAATTGTCTCCCTCTTCCCCAATTTGAAAGATAGTGGCTCACCTACTGGCTATGTGAGTATTAATTTGAAGGACCCCTGACGGTTTTCTTCTTGGGTCATGATCTGTTTGGATGTCCTAGTGTGAACTAAGACTGGAAAAAAATTACTTCTTAAAAGTTGACTATTCACTTACTATTATGACAATTATTTGACTAAACAAATGATGAGACCATTTTGAAAACTAAGCAGATAACTTAAAAGTAAGTTTACATGCTGTTTTGAAGTTTTTGATACTGAAGTTGAGTACAATAATGCACAATATGTGTAAAATAATATGCTGATTTTCAGTATTTTGTTTTATATTTCCAACAGAACAGACAGCATTTCAAAGATTACATGTTTAAGAAAAGAGCTATGTGTTTTAATCTTTTTGAACAACAGGTAGTGTCCTGTGCACAAGTTTAATCACCATTTCACGAGGTGAGGTCTTACAACGTTTCAACTGATCAGGCCGCTTTATCGGTTACCGACATATTGTGCACATATAACTGAATGCTGTTATGCATGTGGAATCCCACCACAACAGGAAATGACAAATGTCTTCCTCTGTTGAAAGCCCAACTGGTAGACAAAGAAATTGATCAGCATTTTTTTTTTTTTTTTTTTTTTGACAATGTTGACTAATCATTGCAGCCTTATTGTGAATGTCCTTTTGAATGG